ATCTTATTTATTACTTTTTTAGCTATGTAAAATAGATTTTTAAAACTAAATAATCTTTTCTTAACAGATTAGAAAAATAATTAATACAAAAAATTTTCAAAAACTATATAAATTAAATCTTAAAACCAGTCTTCAGTTCAAACTCTTATAGAGATATAGTTTTGTTTATCTTTCTGTGCACCTTCAGCGGGTCGTTGATACGAGTTTCAACATAAAACGGCAAAACAATGGAAACGGCCTTTATTTCCAGACTATTTATTCTTATGACTATGCTTTAACTTATTTTTCAAGCATTGAAAAAGTAGTGAACCCGCGAGATTCCGCTTAGTTATAATTTGGATGTTGTTCAAATTCCTCGAATTGAAGTTTTTGAAATTTTAAAAAACGAGTTATCTTCAGATCTAGATGACCAGCTTGATATTTTGCAATCACAGTTGTGTCTAAGAAGAAAAATTTGTTTCCAATTTTCAACAGATGATAAAAAGAAACTAAAAAATATTTGACAAAATTAAAAATAAAATGGAAAAGTAGTAACCGAACAAAACAAATATTTTTGAAGACACATGACACTTGGTTAAAAGCCTCAACAAATATTTGTGTAAGTTATTTAATTCTTATCTCTATTAAAGTTTTAAACTTTTTTATATTTATTAAACATTTAAATGATTTCAGATGGTTCAAGCACGAAACAAAGAGAAAAAAAGCCATAGTGCAATGGGTCGACCACCTTTGAATTTTGATGGAACAAGTGAGCGAACGAAACGGCGAAAAATAGAGGAAATGCGTTCGACATTAAGTTCATCCGAGTTGCATTTGCTTCTCAGATGAGCCTTCGGGCTTCAGGAGCATGCAATGCCGGAGTTACAGTTAAAGATTTACCTTCCACCATTCAACACCGAGTCGCAAATTATATAGAGAGCCTTAAATTGTCCCAAATTTCACAAACATCTGAACTATGTGCTGAAACAGCTCTTTCCATACTAATGGAAGCAAAGCTTTCTAAACACCAATATTGCATTATAAGAAGTGCTACAATTGCAAATAGCTCTTCTTTTTTACCATCTTACGAAAAACTTAAAGAAGCCAAGAAAACGTGTTACCCTGAAGATATAACGGTAACTGAAATAAGCGCCGAAGTAAAACTGCAATCTTTATTAAATCACACTTGTTTACGAATTATAAAAACTCAACAAAATGTAATTGACTTCTTGAATGTAAATATTTTATCAAATTTTGTTTTAATTCTTAAGTGGGGGTTTGATGGCAGTTCCGGTCATAGCGAATATAAACAGAGATTTGCCGATGGAAGAAACTCAGATGCAAATGTTTTTCTGACTTCACTTGTACCATTACAACTTTTGTGTACAAATTCAGTTTTATATCAAGATGTTATTCTATGGAAAAATAGGACACCCTCATCTACTCGATTTTGCCTATCAGACTGCAATTTCTTCACGAAAATGTCCATACAAGCATTAATGAAAAAGACTATATTGAAGATATAATTAAATCACTGGTTCCTCTCATCATTGTTCAACATAAAATAGAAATTAAAATACATTATAAATTGGTTATGACAATGATTGACGGAAAAGTTTACAATGCAATAACATTGACGAAATCAACAATGCGGTATTATTTGTGTTCTGCTACTTCGAGTCAATTCAATTATATCAATTTCGCTAAAGAAATAAAAGTTGGCGAATCAAAATTGGAATACGGTTTATCTACGTTGCACGCATGGATTCGCTTTTTTGAATGTTTTTTGCATCTTGCGTATAAACTTGGAATAAAAAAATGGCAAGCACGTTCTGACATTGAAAAAAGTATAATATTACAAGAAAAATTGTTAATCCAGAATGCTTTTAAGGTGCAGCTAGGGTTAATAGTTGATCGACCGAAACCAGGATACGGTAATACAAATGACGGAAATACAGCTCGAAGATTTTTTAAAAACTCAAAAGTGTCTGCTGATATTCTAGGAGTGGATTTAGAACTAATAAATCGGTTTCATGTAATTTTACAGGTATTATCTAGTGGCTTTCCTATAGACGCAGACAAACTTGATAACTATTCTACCGAAACTGCACTACTTTTTGTTGAAAAGTATCCTTGGTGCAACATACCTACAACAGTACACAAAGTACTTATTCATGGAGCCTTAATAACAAAAACAGCAATACTACCCATAGGACAACTATCTGAGGATGCACAGGAATTGAGAAACAAAGACTTAAAAAAATATCGCGAAGATTTCTCTAGAAAAAATTCCAGAAAAAATACAATGCATGACGTTTTTTGCAGACTTCTGGTTTCGTCAGATCCTGCAATATCTTCACTTTTAAAATCTCATGATGACAGTGGTGATTTATTTTAAAGTAATATAAATGAAACAATTATGATAAATGATGCAAATAAAAGTTTTCCTTGTTTTCCTTCAACAAATAAATAAGTAGAATAAATAATGACTTTTTCAATTTATTTTTCTTAACATTCCGGCATAATAATACGGTCATAATATATTATATATCGGTATTATATATAATGTTTATATATGTAATGTAAATAATACATTAGTCTATTGAACTTAAATGTCGAATTAGAACTAATTGGTTAAACACGAAGGCCCAAAGACATTTCTAATGATTAATATTTTTAAAACACCGCCATTTTGGATCTGCCATTATTGAATTTTGGTACACTTATGTAAAATTCAAAGTTGGGGATTCAAAAAAATGCTATACAGAAATTTTCCATTAATTATAATCATTTTTTGACTTTTGGCCAGGTTTTTTGAAATTCCGCCCACTGTGGTTTAATATAGGCCCTCAGTGAAATACGTTTTTTGCGCGTTGGGAAGGCCTGCAGTAAATATCGCCGTGTACTGAATATACGCCGTGTAGTAAATATACACCGTGAACTGCAGTAAATATCGCCGTGTACTGAATATACGCCGTGTAGTAAATATACACCGTGAACTGCAATAAATATCGCCGTGTACGTGTCAGATTATTTAACCCCATAAACAAGGATAATAAAAGTGAAATCACTTAGGCAAGACTACTATGAGGGAATCATTAAATTCAGAAGGAAACGAAAAATTCTTACTGGTTAGATTTCTTGACTTAAAATTTTGCTCTCAAAAGTGTAGATTCTTAGGCGAGATGACTATTGAAACAAGAATACGGTGGTGTACATACAAGAGAACGGTGGTAAGTCTTAAGGCGAGTTTCCACTCATCCGTTTTTTTACGGGAACGGGAAAGGGACGGGAAAAATAATCACGTGAGCATGCGTAGTATAAGTTTTAATATATCCGAAGGTAAACTACGGATGCTCATATTAGTTATATTTTAAAAACCCGAAATCATAATGCTAAAAGCGAAATTTCCAAGGCGAGATTACTGTGGAGGAGTATTAAATAAAACGACAAATTCCTATTGACTAGATTACTCAAACTCAAAACTATTTAAGTCTTGGATTATTTCTAAATTTAATTTTGACGATTGCCACGTCTTATGCACTTTTATATTCTTTTAAAATATCTGTTTTTAAATCCGACAAAAATACTGCAACACATAAAAAAAATCCTGGAAATATTAAGTTCCTTGCCAAAAAAACTTTTTTTAAGAACGTAACAAACCTAAAGCAAAACGGGGAAGCAAAATGTAAGATTCCAACAGGTACTAGAGATTGTCTAAAACTATGATATTTATTTTGTAACATAATTTTTGCGAACAAATACAACTAAGGCTTATGAGCATCTTCTAGTTTACCGCTTGCCCTGTTCAAATTTATAACAAATATGACTACAGAATTCAAAACAACTTATCAATGAATGAAATGTTTTTAATGCAACCACGGAATGAGACGCTTGATTTTCCACAGTTACTTTTGGTTGCCGAATTAAACTATTATTTCTCAAATTTTTTTTTTCTTTTAATTTATATAAATTATAGAAAGAAACTGGGGAGGAGTTGTTTTTACATTTGTAAATAAAACTAAGTGTGTTAAAAGCATTAAGCTGGTATATATAAATTATAAGGAGTTTTATAAGTAAAATATATAAGGAGTTTTCATTTCATATAAAAGAAGCTTTATATGAGTCCTTAAAATCGATAAGGGAAGCAATACTCTTTTGTTGACGTTAACGAGGCTCCTGTTTAAATTTATTGGCATTAAACTAAGCAATATTTACATAGTTTAAATGATAAATGATAAATGAAAAAATATAACTGAGTTAGATTACACTTTTAAACCTAAATTAATCCGAATCAGAAGTAAAAAATCACAAATGAATAAGATTTTATATAAGATCCAAATAACAAACAAAATGGAAATTTTTATTTGCTGTTATCAACATGACAATAAAGATAAAAGATTCACTCTGGTGCAAACAAATGGTTGTTTAGTTTCTCAATTTGTAGAGTATAACTAAAAAAGTAGTAACATTGCTTGAACATTGAGAAAAACTGCCAACATGGAGAATTTAAATAGATCAATGCAGTAGATCTAAGCAGTGACCTAAGACTATTTCAAGACCGATTGCTAAGTGTACATTGCCACAGGTGTAGTAAATTTAATATTAAAAGATATAAAAGTATGAAAAATATTCAGTACCAATTATTTTGACGCCGGATCTGAATAATATACTTTGCTTCAATAAATTGAAGTGATTAGCATAGGCAGGTCTCATTTATGTTTCATTCATTGTCTCATTTATACAAAACAAAATCAAAAGAATTAAAATAGCAAAATCTTCATATTACTTAAACAACTTTTTTTTTTAACTAAAATCTTTAAAACCTAGTTTTTAGTATTACCATAATGCAAATATGTTACGACGATGTTGTAAACTAGTAAAATGTCAAAGGTGTTTAGTTATTCCAAAGCATATAAAATATCCTACCTTAATTAATTTCATTCCTGAATACTAAGTGGGCTGCAAGTCTAAAATACAATAAATCTTTTGCTGCACTAAAATCAACTAACAAAAATATTATGCAACTGTGGTGCTCGCTGGACCAATTTAATGTTGCAAAACTTTACGTTTAAAGTTATTAAACTTAAAAAAAAAAGGTATATACATATAATTCTCTCACAGTAACAGTTAAAGTATCAACACGAAAATGAGTTTTTTTGTATTAAGCTTCGTTTCCGGTAAGTGAAATATCGATTAATATCGATTTTTGATCGTATCATCGGTTAACAATATTACAATATTTAATAGATACGGTTAATACAATAGCATTGGTATTGCTTTAAAAAAAATTAAAAAACCAATAAATATTTCATAAAAAGAATAAAATTATAATACATGCTGTTGTTAAGTTTTTTTGTATAAACGTTTCTTTATTTAGTATTATTAATACCAGCAACAGCATCTACTCAACACGGCGAATCTTCTCGTTATACAAGTAAGATTTCTTTAAAAAATAAAAATAAATTTTAATTCACAATGAATAAATGTTTGAGAATGATACTTAAAACAAGAGTAGTTATTTCAAATAGCGCTCTAATATAGGAGATTTAACACTGAAAAATACATTAACCTTATAAAAGAAGACCATGTGCAAAATAACCTTAGCAATACGAAAGTATATAACCTATTCTTTTGGGTTCTCTTGCCATTCGGACGCATTCTAATATAGAGAGGTACGGTCTTTAACTGACGCTACTCTCATTACTTATATACCTTATTCATGAAAATATAACTTCATACTGTACAAGTTACCTAACATATAGTTCAACACAAAGCGGACTCTCAAAGATCTGGTAAAGGTTTATCTTAACCCTTAATTTACTAAGAACTTTATTTATGGTATCGTTAAAACTCTTTTTTCACTTTTTTATTTATAAGTCATAAGACATACGTATTTCTTTAAATTCCGTTCTTCTTAGCTTCATTTTTTGATAAACAACTTTAATTAATGTATTATATAGATATTATTTGCGAAGCATTTTTTTTTCGCTTCACTATATTTACTATAAATATGTTGCGGCAATAGCTATTTTCAGATAATTAAAACAGAATCTGAATGGTCTTTATTATTATTGAACATTGTAATAAAAAATATTCCATATAAAAGGTCCTCGATACAATATTTTATTCGATTTACGTGACCTTAGTCACGCTTTTTGCATAAAAAAGCACGGTGCAAAACCTTAACGTAAATATCGTGATCGTGGTCACGTTTTTTACGTAAAAATGTGCAGCGCAAAACTATTATTAAAAAAAAAATTTTATGCATTTAATTCAGTTATATTATAATAATTCAATTATTCCTATTTATTAGATAACAATTTATAACTATTATATTTTATAAAAAAAAATATGTAACTGACATAAATTAAATACCAAATTAAAAAAATAAGTAAATAAATTGCAAAAATCAAAATGACAGTTAAAAAAAAATTATTATCTCGATTTGTCCCAAGTTACCTTTTTTTTTACGCTATGGGTTTATAAAAAGTAAATTAGGGTAACCTGGGAAAAATTGAGATACAAGAGCATTAAGCTTTTGTATTCTTTTATTTATTTATTTTTTTATGTTTTTTCATGTTTATGTCGTTTGTTTGTTAAATTTATGTTGTTTTGTATCATTCACTATATTCCTATGATAGTTGATAATATATACTAGCTGTCTGGACTCGTAAGATGTAAGGTTTAGTTATGTTAATACAATACAATACTATTATACAAAGACTATTTATATACGTATTTCTTATTTACTTCAATATTTTTCAGAAACGGTAGAAAAATATTTCATTTAAACAGCAAAAAAAAAATTAGTATGGACATTTTTTCCACATACTTAGAACTCTCACTCTGGTATTTCGAAAATGAAAGTCTGAATTTAAAATCTTCCTTCTTTAAAAAACTTGGCTCTTAACTGGTGTTGGCAGATGTCCGGCTTTTACAAGAACAGTAAAAATCTTTATTTTTATCGCTTCGACACTGTATTCTTCAACGTGAAAGCCGGACATCTGCTAACCTTACTCTTTACAGCGAAAGATGCGCTGGTAACGTAACTCACTGATTACGTAAACATATAACATAAATATCTCTTAAATGTATATTTAAAAGATATTTATTACAATTTGTATATTTAAGAGATAGGGGAAAGAGGGGCAACATGGCGAATGGGGCAAGATGAGTTTTCATATAACAACTCAACAAAAAATCTTAAAGTTGAGTAAAGACGAAATTATATTTGCAACTTGTATTTTAAAACACCAATTGGTTTTTTAAATAATATTAACGCAATTTTATACGCGCATAAGTTTAATTTTAGCGCTTAAAAAAAATTCCTCAGTTTCGGTTTCTCATAATGGATGGTGTCCTAACACAAATAAACACAAGTCATAAAAAACTACTTCTAAAAAAGTTTAACTTTTTTAGAAGTAGTTTTTTATGACTTGTGTTTATTTGTGTTACTTTAGTTAGAGTTATTGGTAGTTTTTAAAATTTTATAAAATTGGAGGCAAAAATTGCATGATAAGTCATCTTGCCCTGGTCACGTAATCAGATGACAGATTTGTTAACTTTTTATTTTAATATTTATTTCAAATTATTATATTTGCAAGCTAAAAAATCATGCAGGCAATGAATTATTTTAACAACATAAACATACTGAAGACGTATTGTTGTTTCACGACTGATAGTTTTGCAATAACTCAGGGCTTTCAAAGCGTTCGCCATGTTGCCCCGCTTTCCCCTATTTATTACAGTTACAATTGCGCGACATTTCTACAGATGTTTTTTGAAATTTAATAAAGTTTCAACCCTCTGACTATGACTATATATATTTTTCAAAAACTCAACTTCATAAATACAAAAATTTTAAACAAAATAGTTTAAGCAAAAAGACTTTTAACTGTCAGAAAAGTTTTAAAAGTTTTCTTATATTATAAATACACGGTTATATTATACATACACGTTTAAATACATTATCCGCAAACTCAACTAACCTACTGTCAGGAGTACTGACGTTTACACTTGCAGACGTTTATATGTCACTCTATATAAGTGGATTTTTTTACAGTAGCATATTTCATATAGTTTTTTACATTTGGAAATTGCATACGCTATGCTATATGAAAGGGAACTCAACATAAGTGTAGCACCTGCTCATACCGCACAAAAAGTGTTGAGTACAAGCACGAAAAGTGTTGGTTAATTAATATCGATAAAATGGTTTGTTTTCAATGGAGAATATATCTTTATTTGCTCTGAACAAAAAAATCTTTTTAGTTTTCCGCTTTTTACCGCTTGTTTTAATACAATTTTTTATTTAAACAAAACAGTTTAAATAAAAACAGAACTGTAAGAAATTTATATAAAAAGTGCTGAGAGACTTCTTCTCGCCATTAACTTGGGTTTAATGGCTGCCATGAGTTTTGTGCAAACATGCACGAATAAGCATTAACATTATTAAGTTATATATATAATATATAATATATTGATATGCTTAACTTTATTTAAATAATAATACTTATCATAGAATATAGGTCATTAAAACTATTGCTTATGCTCAGTGGCGGATTAAGACTTATTGGGGCCCGGGGCTATTTTTGTTTTTGGAGGCCTTTTTATGGGCCAGAGTCTAAAAATGACTAAAAAAAATAAATTGGGGGGACCCTAAATTTGCGGGGCCCGGGGGTATAGCCCCCCTTGATCCGGCACTGCTCATGCTAATGTGTTTTAAAACTATGAAAATAGTCGTGTATTAAGATTTAATCAATTATTCGTGCTAGACAAGAAATTAAGGGAAGCCTAAAACGTTGACGCCATAATAAACTCATAAAAATGAATTTAAAATATTCTGATGAGCCAAACTAGCATTGCAATCAAGATTTAACATGCACCGATAAGTTTTTGACATTTTAATATGAATTTCATCTTCCAGAGAATCAACAAAATGAAAAATTGCGTGGGAGTAGATTCCGTTTCAGAGGTTTTCAATTTAACTGAGTATTAAAAATGTACGAATTCTAAATAAAGAATAGCCTAAAATTATATCTTGAAGAGTATTCGCACTACGATTAGAAGCTTCTACTAAAAAATACAAAAATTACCTCATCTACACATGCGGTAATGATAAGCCTCCCTATCTTGAAATATAGCAAGCTGCGTATTTTTCTTATTACGTGTTTTAAGATTCGGATAAGCGTGACAAAAAAAAAATGTTTGTTACAAATTGTTTTGAAAAGCTGTATACTTTAGTTTTAAATAAAACAAAAAACAACATCAAATTTGCATTTTTTTAAATTTGGTTATTAAATTTTTTTTATTATTGCTTTGAGCATTGTTTTTCTAAGCTACAATTTTCATTTAACAGAAGTTATAATTATTTAAAAAAATATATATATTGCTTACTTAAATAACAAAAGATTTGAAGTTAAAATGTTTATTGACTAGTTTAGCAGTTATTTTTAACGATTCAATGTTGGTCATGAATATATACATAGTATGTCAATTTCTACAGTTAATGTTTAGTTGAGCCGGCAATTGGTAAAAATAATTTTTAACCAAGCAAAAATGATTTTTAACCATATGCAATATATATAGTATTTATAATTATTCAATTAAGTCATCTCATAATCATATTTACTAAGTATTTCTAAAAATTGCTAAATACTGTAGGGAAGAGCTAGGTTGGTTGTCTTTTACGTTTTATGCGGCTTTTTTTGTGGTTCTAGTTGAGCTGAATATGGCTGGCAGATTTCTTTATTCGAATTAGCACATGAAAAAAGTTGAGTTTGGGCGATCAGTTACATAGTTAGGATAATAATCAGTACCTAGGACAGCATCAGTAAATATATCTTATAGGACAGCATCAGTAAAAATATCAGGATTTAATGGGTAAATCTTCATTGCAGAAAACCAATCTAAATATTCTTGGGAGACACCCTATGATACAGCTTGTGATGCCATCACTTTTGAACAACATTATATAGCACTAATCAAGAATTTGAATAAGCGGGTTAAAAAAATACGCGTGCAGTCGAGGTAAACGTGACAACCATCCCCATTTATTTTGTTACAAGTAGCCCCCTTTTATGCTAGTAAAAAGACACTTGTAAATTTTCCAAAAAAAGTGTGAGTTATATGAGAATTATTTATATATTACGAATAAAAAACTTTAAATGTACATTCAAAACACAATAAAATTATTTAAAAAAAAACTTTTTTTCTACACGTTAAAAAATATGGAAATAACTGTGAAAATATCTTTTTTTAATAAAGATTGCACGATTTAAAAGTTCTAAACCCTATCTAGATTTTTAGTAATACACTTTTTGACAACCAACCCGCGTAAAAGTAATGATTAAAAAACAACTTAAAATAACAAGTGAAGTGGTGATTGAACGAGCTCATCGTATCGGTCAACACAAGCATAACAAACCAAGAACA